GCGTAAATTTCTGTAAGCGCTATCGTCATCCAGTTTATATTCGTTTAACATAGGACATTGCTTGCTTTAACGAATGGAATAACCCTTTCCGAAACGAGTTTTGAAACTGGTAGAAGAAAGATATCTCACGAAGTGCTTCGAGCATAAAACTTAACTGCGTATTCACACTTTGATCACAATCTTTTTCTGCGAGTACTGTCCGTTCTCGAGAGCTAATTAGCGTGACAGTCAAATGGAAAATTTACTCCGCCTCAGGAATAATCGTTTCACAATCTAAAGAGAGATCCGCTATACGTAGAACAATAAGAATAGTTGCATTGATTCCCACAATTTTGCCTTAAACGGCCAGCGCTGTTTCGCCATTCAATTTGACGAGACGAAAGTAAAACAAAACATTTTATTTCATCGCATGAATATTCATCTCCAAAGTATTATGTTGATGTAGAAAATTACCAAACTGGTATCACATTTCGCCTAGTTCTGTCAACACGCATCTCTTAAAGGCCCACTGCACTACTTGTAGCTACTTGCGCCCTCTATATAACAAACAATGCCTAATCGGTGACCATTGGTCCCCCATGATCCTCTTTTTCTTGTGTTAACTATGAGCTGAGTTGATGAGATAACCACCTGTACAGTGACCTTGCAGGGCAGTCTAATCCCTCCTGTAAACTACGGCAGATAAGCTTTAATGTTCCAAAGTGATGATGTTCCGTAATGTCCTACTCGAACGATAAGGTGCAGATGAGCAAATGAATGTTATCAGTTTTTCTGAAATTTCTTATAAAATGATACAGAAAATACATCCAAAAGTTGTTTGGTGATTTTGTGAAATGTCATACCCAATCGGAAGAGCGCAAATGAACGAAATGAATCAGTTATTTTATAAATTCATATCTTCTTTTATAAGAATTTTTAGAAAACATTCACAATAAAGGTGGCGATGATTCTCTGATACACTGTACTCCGTCAAAACAGCACAAGAGTTATGAACACAATATTGTTATCAAGTATTCAGTACTTCCATGCATTAATTCCATTCAATGATTTGACTGAATGCACCCGAAATTATCGTAACTTCACATGTTCTATTATAAGAGTTTCCATGAAACAGTCACAATAAAGGTGGTGATGATTCTTTGACACACTCTACTCCGTCGAAGGTCAGGAGTTATGAAAAAAAATTGTCATCAAGTATTCAGTAATTCCATGCATTATTTCCATTAAAAGAAATGACTGAATGCACCAGAAATTCATGTAATGGTATTATATATTCCACTCCATCTAAAGAAAATATACATGAGCGAATGTCATCATTAAATTCGACGCGTTTCATTTGAGTGTGTCCCAGATAAAGCCATGATGCATGTGATGATTCTCCGGAATATGCTGTTCCACCGAATGAGTGCACATAAACGAACTAGTGTAGCCAAGTATTATGCAAGTCTGTATCTTTCCTTTAATAAAAGAGTTTCAATGATACATCCAAAACATATGCGATGATTCTCCCTGAGAAATCCTTCTCCACGGGAAGATCACACAAAGTCAGTAACTCGACGAACAAGATTCTATCAGTCAAGTCATTCTATGTATTCTATACAAAGAAATGACTAAATAACCGAAAAACATTTCGTTCTCAAAACCGTTGAGCTTGTATTCATCAGCAGCACGGATGCTATTTTAATTCCGCATTGAACACGTTAGCCCTTGATATTCTAGCTAGCGATTCCTGTTTGCAGAACATTAATTTGCACCTTTCACAACGCCATAAATAATATATCACGATGAATATGAAACAAATGAACCTACTTTTATACCAAGATCCTTGACACGGTTTCAATTTTCATCGATC